CGGTGCGTGTTATACGCCGGTGCGTGTTATACGCCGATAAATACGGTAAGTGAATTTATTCAACCACAGTTAAAATATATATGATGTGGTTTCTGGGAAGTGTTAGTTGATTTTTTTTTTACCAAAACTGGATGAGGTATTAAAGATTTATGTATAAATGGGGGAAGATTTCATTGCTCATGTTGCAGAGAAAATGATAACTTGGAACACAAAATGGATTTACTTGATAAATGTTAAAATATATATGGTAGTTACTATTTTTGGCTGTTCTTTTGCTGATTAAGATTGAATAATGAGTCTTTACAATTTATTTATTGATAAGAGATGGTTGATCACATGGTTGCAATTTGATATTTTTTTAAACAAGCCCCCACCTCCACTCCTGGATGCCCTTAGTAACCCTTTGGAATTTAGCATTGGCAAAAAAAGGCAAGAAAGGATGTGTAATAGAAACAACAAGGCAGCAATTGCTACCTATGCGTTAAGAAAAGTCAAATGAAAGTACATAAGGAACAAAAAGAGAGATTTAAGTAAAATTAAATAAAAAAGTAAGATTGTAAGTAAATATAATTACCCTATTGAAAAGTAACAAAACCGTAAAGAACATCACTTATATTTTGGATACTTCAAATATATAACACAGAATGAAGTAAAACTTAAAGTAGGGAGATTGGTTTCTCTATAGACACAAATTACATTGCAAATTTTTTAAAAAACAAACATGGCAAGAAACAAAGTAAACTAGATGCAAGGGAGAAAATAGAACTTGCTAAATAGTTATTCCAAAAAGTTTTTAAAAACTGATTAAACAATGGTGCATGAATTAAGCTTTGGCTGCGGGCCCCTTAAAATGCTCTGAATTCCTTGCTAGATCACCAATCACCATTTGCATTAAACCAAGAAGCCTATCCCCATAAAGCATCAACGAATAAAAGCAGGGAGCTCAGACGTTTAGCTACATCCTATTTGGAGGCAGAATGTTGACTTTATGCATAAGACAAACATGTCTCTAAAGGCAACTGTTTAAGAAAAAGAGGGAGAGTTCTCTGCTTTAGAAATGTGCAGTAGGCATTGAATAGAGTAANGTTATGTGTTTGTTTTTGTTGATGTGTTTATGTGTTTAAAATAAAACATTTATCCTAAAAAAAATGCTTAAAATGCTCAAATTAGCATTTTATACTATTATAAAATGCTTAAAATGCTCAAATTAGCATTTTATACTAGCATTTTACACTATTAAAAGATCTATCCTTTACTATTGAGTTGTGGGGAAAACAGTTGCCGTATATCTTTAATATCTGCTTCCCCATTGCCAGAGAGATAATCAATTATTGTAAATAAATGTCAGTGAAAGGAAATAGCAGCTAGACTGTTTTTTGACCATTCCTCTGGCAAACATCCTTCACTTTGCTTTGACTCCCTATTCTAGGAACATTTCCATGGAAAGGTTCTGTTCCTTGGCTTGATCTTGACATACGCTAACAAAACACTTTACAGTCACTCAGCACATTTTATTGTATACAAGGACACATCCATTGTAAACAGTCGATTGCCCTCTGCCAACATGAACATTGTTCTTACACCTACAACCGTTAATTATTGTGATTTTTAGGCTTTTTATATAGCTCGACAACTATAGTACATTTTTTTCTTACATTCCATCATGTCCAATTCTCAAAAATTGTCCAGGCAAGTCCCTGCAATTTTCTTGGCATGGTTTCCTCAGAAATGGTGGTCTCCTGATTTCTACCCTGATACCTTAACCATTATACCAAATTGACTATCACTGTGATTCTTAGCCTTGTGATTTTAAATTTTGGTGCTAGATTAAGCTAAGCAATTTGTAGTAGTTGACATAATTAGTATTCCTGCACTAAGAAATTCTAGTTCTACATCCTTCTCCTCTCAATTCTCCACCTATTTCCCCTCAATGTGTTTGGAAGGAACCAAGATCCGCCTCCTTTTTCTCTGGTTTCAAAGAGGCAGATAAGGGAGAAAATTTTCATCTTCATTTCTGTGGAGGTTGGCTCTGCTTCCAAAGTCAAAGCAACAATTGTTGGCAACTTCCCCTCCCTTTCAGATAGATGCCTGATGAAGCAGTTACTTTCAATCTATCTTTGTCGCTCTCTTCTTGACCAATTCTACCTGTTTTACTCACCCCACACCAATAAATCCCCAATCTTCCCAGGGTCAGAATCATTGGCAGTTGTAAAAATATTATTGTGTGACCAGATGGATTGCAAAGGCGTTGTAACTGGAAATGGTGAAGATGGAAAGCTTACATGCATATAATTCGCTGTCTCCCAGAAATATTTAGTATCCAGAGTCCTTTCCAATAAATCCGCTTTTTAAACCCAGCCATTCTATGCTGAATCCAAAAAGCATTTCATCTCAAGTTGTTCCTTGCCATGTCTCAGAATGAGAAATGGTGGCAGAGATAAGATGTGTTAAGGGGAATGAAACAGTGTAAAAGCAAGTGTGTGTTCAGCATAACCAAAAGCTGCAATCAAATGCTGCTTGTTTTACCGTGGGGAATCCAATACACTTGGCATCTAGTTTGACTGAGAACACATGGTGTATAAACACACAAAATAAATATAAAAATGATAGTGTAAACAGATGAAAGCCACATGTGATCCCTGGGGAAAGGGGGAGGTTCCAGACAGTGATGGTTGGCAGAGTACTTGCGCAATCTAATAGCTCTTTTAAGGATGTGTTGAGCCATAAATTTATCTTTTCAATGTTTACGACCATAATAAGTATTGATTTGATTTGATTATCTCTCCAAAGTGAAAGAATTGAGAGTGACAGAGTGACACTGTTAGCCATTGTTGGCCTAAAAGAGTGACAACTGATTTCATTCATAAGCAAATGCTGTCACAGGAAAAAGTTCTAGCCAATTGTCTTGCGGGTTACTATAGCAACAAGGATATTGCTCTAAGGTGGCCTTCCTTCTTGGATACATAAATGTATGGCTCAACACCTCCTTTAAAAGCAGCTAGATTACTCAGGGCCACCTACAAATAGTTTGCTAAGCATCACCATCTGAAAAGTTTCACGTATTTTTCAGGAATGCGTTTGATTTGAGGATATTTTTACAATATAATATATGACCATTATGAAAGAGTCACATAAATTATTATGTTCCAATTTGCTCCAAGCAAATTGGCAATACTAGTTACTAGGTTTTTTTTACAAAAAAACCCGCAACCTCCAACCCTCAAACTACTAGCCAAGATACTTGCTAATAAGGAGAAGTATGTAGCCATTTATTCACTTTTAAAATTACAGAAAATAGACTTAATGTTACATGCATACAGCCTTTCACGTATCACAACCTGCGTTGAGAAATCTAAAATGTGCCTTGTTTAAAAAAATTGTAAAAATGAACGAACATAAAGAAAAAAATATACATTTTTTTTTCCTTTCTTACCTTATGTTGACCAATGCATGAGTCACCTTACTGGCTGGCTCCTTCCACTGGCCAGCATTAGTAGAAAGCCTCAGAACTGAAAGAAAGAAAAACATACCCTGTGACACCTATTTGACTGCCGCTCAAGAGTTTCCAGTTTTTTGTGGCTTGGGACTGCATTTCCTCCCACCCCGTTTTTCTAAAGCTGTCTCAGCATTCACAGGGATGGGGCAATATGATATGTTATTATTGGAGAAGATGGGGACAGGATAGTCAATCTTTTATACTTTATGGGCAATTGGATGGGAAGAGACCTGGTATTTAAAAGTAACGAAGACAACCTGTAGTGTGTTGGGTCATCATTTCAGAGATATTTCTTTACTTAAACAGAGAAACAATGTCACGAGGATAAGTCATTGGTAGTAGAAGTGAGTTCCAACTTCCTGCCCGCTTCCCCATTTCCTTGTGGAAATCTAGCAAGCAGAATCATAAATCTTCCTTCCTCCCTCCCTCCCTCCCTCCCTCCCTCCCTGGGTGGTAAGTGGTTGATGCTAGATGGCAGAGAGATTGGCTTAGAAACTGTCACAGAATGTTGAAAACAATCATCTCAGCAGCCAGTAGCACTGAAGCAGCCACCACTTTCACAAATTTCATTCCTTCCGGATTCATGGGTTGCAGATTTTGGACACATTCTCTAAGTTAGTCTATTTGAGGTACCTTGGTTCAATAATTGTTGCCATACCATGCACCGTTTTGCCCAGTTAAAGGTTATGATTAGAGTTTTAATAGAATACAGAAGGTGTCTTAAGGCTACTGAAATCTTAATATACTATTTTCTCCGCTTTCTTGTTAAACAGCAGAAAATTGTGATATTCTGTGTCATAGCTTTGCTGGCAAATTTCAGAAACACATACTTGGGAAACTTCAGGAACAGTAAAAAAAAGTAACATTCAGATTCATGTGTATTTTGTGTAATTCCCAACATGAATATGTACATTCATAGAAAAACACTTAATATACAGGTCTTATATATTTCCAAATATGTCTGGATATATAAGACACAATGCATGCTTTCTATGCTACATGTAGAAGACAAGGTTGCTGAAAATATATAAATTATTAAATTAATCATTAAACTACTATCTCCTTAATATTCTAAGTTAGAGGAACCATATTTTTCTTTAAACTAGCATAGTTGCCTTGGCAGCCAGGAAATGGGAAGTTAGTTACAGAATTCTTAACTTCCACTTTGTCCTACCTTACTATTTCAACATCCCAATACAAATACTTCTAAGCTGAATTGAAGGAGGTGCAATGGAAGTACAAAGATAGTAGTGTACATAGAACATAGAATCATAGGGCTGGAAGGGACCTCCTCTTTAAGGCAGGAGACTTTATACCCAGGATGGTGAACCTATGTCACATGTGTCACAGGTGGCACGCAGAACCATTTGTCAGGGCACACAAGGCTTGTCTTGTTAGCTGGCCAGCGCGCATGCATGTGCTGGCAGCTCACTTCAGCCTTCTTTTGAGGCCATTTTTTGCCCTCCTGAGGCTTCAGGAGCTTCCCTGAAGTCTCTGGAGCGCGAAAAATCAGCCCTACGGGCAAACCGGAAATTCAGAATCGGACTTCCGGTTTGCTTGTAGGGCTGGTTTTAGCCCTCCAGAGCCTTCAGGGAAGCCTCCTGGACGCCCCTGAGGGTTCCCTAGGCCCTACAAGCAACCCGGAGGTCCATTTCTGAACTTCCGGTTTGCCCGTTGGGCCAGTTTTTCGTGCTCCGGAGGCTTCAGGGAAGCTCCTGAAGCCTCTGGCGGGCCTCCGGGAGGGAGCAGGGAGCCTGTTTTTGCCATCCCCAGGCTCCTAGAAAGCTTCTGGAGCCTGGGGAGGGCAAAAAAAGAGTGCCAAAAGCAGGGGGGAGCACTGTCGTGCACACATGCGCACAGAGGGGGAAAACATGCGCATGTGTGGCATACCGTGCATGGCCCCCCCTGCGCTCCCCCCACTTTTGGCACATGAGCCAAAAAAGGTTTGCCATCACTGCCTTATATCATCTCAATCAAATGGTTGTCCAGTCTATTTTTGAAAATTTTTACAACTCCGGGAGGTAAACTATTCCATTTACTAATTGAACAGAAAATTTATCCTTACTTCTAGATTGGATTTCTCTGGATTTCTCTTTAACATGTTTCTATCCATTATTTCTTGTTTATTTCTGTCTTCTGGTGCTTTGGAGACTATGTCAATCCATTTTCTATGACATTCCTTCAAGTACAGTTATCATATCCCTCCTAATCTTTCTTTGATAGGCTAGAGATTCCTAGCTCTCTCAACTGTTCATCATATGATTTAGCCTCCTGACCTTTATCATCTTTGCTGCTCTTCTCTGAACACTTTCTAGGGCAGTGATGGCAAACCTTTTAGACACCAAGTGCCCAAACTGCATGCTCACACATGCCCAAACTGAAAGGTGGGTGTGCGAGTACAAACATGCACATGCTCCAACATGTGTGCATGTGCAGCAGAGGCCCAAAACCAGCAGGGAAACAGAAGCTCATGAAAGAAACGTCACAGAGGTCTGACCTGGGCCGACAGCACACATGCCAGCAGAGACGGCTCTGCGTGCCACCTCTGGCATGCGTGTCATAGGTTTGCCAGCACGGTTTTAGGGTCCCAATATCTTTTTTGTATCATGAGAAGAATTAGACACAGTATTCCAAGTGTGACCTCACAAGTGGTATTGTCACTTCTCGGGATCTTAAGATTTACTATATAAAGATGGACAAATGTGGTGATGACTTTTATATGCATGAGTGCAAATGGGGGATAGGGCTGTACATCAGAGAATTACAGGTCAAAAAGAGGAGAAAGAGAAAAGGATTTATCACACGTTTATAGTTTTGGCCCTCCATTAAGGAAACCAGTTCTCCAATTACAGAAAAACTGCCCCACCTCCTCCATAGCAATAGTAAATGCCCTGCTCTGCCATCTTTACTTCCTTATCCAAAAATATTATTTCTGGATAGCATTATTTTTTTGTCTTTCCAATTTACACAAGCTGTTTCTGACTACATTACTTTGAAGCACTGACCTGGTTCCATGATACGCTCTATGTTTTTTGGAGACAATTTCTTACTGTGCTTTCATCAGAATAAGATGAAAGGACAACTTCCTGTCTTCATGTTTACAATGAGACTTCCCTGCAGCTAAATGGTTCTGGGAGCTTGGCTTACTCTCTGATCTGAGATTAAGGCGTAATTTCCCAACTGGGATCATTCTACACACACCATATAGGATCATTCTAAATGAACTTGGTGTGTTCTTGCTACTATTTAATTATTGTATACCAGGAGACAAAAGCAAGCATACTTCACATGCAGCAGCCATATCAGTGCGCTAGGTGATTCTCTGATCCCTTGACTATATTATTTATATATTACTGTATTATTTACTATTATTTATATAAGCTTAAGGAGGAGCCATTTTTAAACATATCTTTAGCCTGGAATATCTTTTGAAGGGTTATTTCACAGTTGTGTATTAAAGGTTAATTAAAACTATATGACAAACATATACTGAAGAGCCATCATACATTATTATTTGCTCTTAGCCACACTTATACAAATGTTACATTAACATAAAGTCAAGTCACCTAACGCTACTTACCCATGGAATAGAGGTTATCAAAACTCTGGTGCATCCTGATTATTTCATAATATAGCTCATCGTAGCTGCTAGGAGTTGGAAGAAAGGTATCCCCATAAGTGATGAACATATTAAACAGGTTTATCACCTTAAAAAAAAGATTATAGGCATTACTGAATAAAAATATATTCATGTTATTATTTAATCAAACAGAAATAGGAATTCTCTGGGCAAATTAAAAGGTTATTAAATAAATAAAAATACTAACACATCTAAACCAACATATCCTAACGTTAAAAGTATTGAAGTGATCACTTAGCCTTCATATCTAAAAAGTCTACTTTCTTTCCCTGACAAATTCATTAGGACCTGACTGTTATTAAGCAAGTGAAAACTACAGTCACCCATGACAACAACAAGAGCAAATATCATTCACCAAAAAGGCAAATTTGCATGGTTGAATGTGTACCAGCTTAGAAGTAAATTAAAATCATTTTAAAAAACAGGCAAGCTGTTTCTATATATTCAAGAGTTTAAGGGACATACAGTTATGTAAAAGCATAAATCAAAAGCCAAAATTAAAGAAATTTCAAAATATAAAGAAAAACATCTAAGAACAGTTGTACCCGTATTGTCAATTATGTGGAAAACAAATGAAAAGAAAGATAATCCGTTTCTTCAACTCTCTTAATTTTCTCTCGATCTCTGAGACTACACATGGCCCCTAAACTTCTGAAATTTCCTCACTGCAGAATTGCTGTACATGAGTGGCTATTTTCCATCATTTTAATCCTAGTAAGCACTTTAGAAGAGGAAAGTGGGAGCTTAAGCATCTCTGCTGTGAAATTAAAAAAAACCCTCTACTGCTAGCAATAAGTGGACATATTTCAAAGGGAAAAAAATAAAATTACATTCTCCAATTTACTACAATTCAAAGTGTACCTTCTTGGCTGCCCGGCTATGAAACATTTGGATTTTCAGGTTAGCAATCAACATTTTAAAGACAAATCACTGCAATAAGCTCTTTCTTCATTTACAAGCCTCAAATAGAATTCCAAAGTTTCATTTCCAGTCTGCCTAGAGCAGCGGTGTCAAACTGGCATCATCACATTGTCATCACATGATGTGTTATGACTTTTCCCCCTTTGCTAAAACGGGAGTGGGCATGGCCAGCACATCCCTGGCCTAGAACCATTAAGATCATTCCTATTAGAATATGAAGAAGATCTGGAATATTGTTTTTATGGGTTTCAATTGTGACACATAAAAACACAGCCCTCCATAATATAGAATGCAATTCAGTACACATTAAAACATTTCTTCTTCTAAAAAAAGTTTCTGGAGGGAATATTCCTGTCCTGGATTTAATTCAGTCTCCAGGCCTTTGGCAGCAATGACTGATTTTTTTCCCTTCCTTTCTGTTCTGTTCTGGTGTGGTGTGGTTTGGTTTGATTTGTCATTGATCTTTTGCACTGTTGTTCTTTGTTCTTAAATGTTTTAACAACTGTAGACTGTCCAGATTTGCTGGGAGTCGGGGCCATATAAATTTAATAAATTATTACTCATTGTCTTTAAACCATCTACATGGGACTCATATAAATATTATAATAAATAATACAAGTTCCTAAACTGAACTAAAATAATATAAAAGGTAAAGTAATATCCTTAACCTGGTTTTGCCCAGGATTTGTATATATCTGTATGTACAGGGCGGGGCATAACCTTTTCCTAGGGGGTCACAGCAACACTTGTAATAACAACACAAATAATTCATACACCATTCGAAAGCNGAATAAAATAAAATGAAAAAGTTCACCTTGTTGGCTTATGGGGTTCAGGCAAACTCTGGGTTTATGTAACTGAGCTCATAACGTAACTTGTTAGGTATCCAAACAAAACAAAAGAGTAAATATCACACTCAAAGGCAAGTTATAAACTCCCCCTAAAACATGGACCTGGGAAATAGAGGGAATTTGCAGATTACTTGATTGAATTCAAATTGATTGACTGCACAATATAATAAATGCCACAAAAGCTACATTTCCACAAGTAAGCACAATAACATTTATGAGTACTCTGACTGTAATTGATGGCAATAAGAATGTTTTAGGACTGAGGCATTCTTCCTGCTAGAGCTCCAGTTTATTTTGTTCATTTTGCTATTATGCCAATTGGGCAGCACTTGGATTAATAGCATTTACTGTACACATATCTACAACTTTGGTGAAGTTTAATTACAAAAAAAATGCAAAGAGAAATATATTGTGAGACCTTTACAGCTGTTTATAAGCAAACTCTCATTCTGCGGTCTCAAAGGTGCTTTTTCAAATGGCAACTGGACTTTTGAAAAAGCACCTTTGGGACGATGACCTGGATGACTAAGAATACTCATAGACACTCTCATTCTGCTGCTTTCCCTCCAAAATAATGGATTTCTGAGGTAAAGTGTCAAAATAATGTTAAGGGAGGGAAGGAAGCATATCAACCCATAACTAGAGGATCAATCTATCGGTGCACTATGAATTTTTGCAACAAATATACAAATACATTTGTTCTTATTACAAAAGGGAAATCTCAAAAATGGGCCACTGACTCCAGTTGACCTAGAACTGGCTCAGACGGAATCTTTTCTTCCTATAACAATATTTGTAGACAGACAGATGGGAATGTGACTTAAGTGGTATCTTCCACAATGGAAAAGAAAACATTGACTCATTTAATCTGCATTCCAATCTCTGTCCATCAGTGGTCATTTTGGTGACAGTATATTCCCTGTTGTATCATTTTCTGAATGACATTGCGTTCACTAACCAGTTCTAACCAATAAACTATATCTTTGCACTGTGTAGTGTCCCTGAGTATATGAATGGTAATCTTTACTTCTAGCTCAGGATTCTTTTCTTGTTATATTCTTAACCTCTCAGGAATTGGAACTCTGCCAGTCTCTATAATCACTGTTTTAGCTGGCAATAAAGGTAGGCACTTTGTTACCTTAATGAGCAGATGTACTTAATGAGCGGATGCTTTATTAATTCAGTCCTAAAGGAAAAAAATTCAAAAATGAGAATTTGTTTCCTCAGTAAAACAACTCTCACCTCAATTTTATTACCTATTAATTAAAACATTAATGGATTTTGGAGTATCTCTTATTCAATAAATTCAAGTCTTAAAGTACTTTAATTATTATATTTCCCACATCAGGAATAAATCACTTCGTTGTCCTACCGACATCAAGAGGGATACAATATTTTTTTTAAGCTTTATGCAAAGCATTTAAACTGTTGGATCAGGAACACAGACCTTCCTTCAGTCATCTTAGATCCAGGTTATGAATCTGCCTACCTGATGGACATTCTCAATACATATCATGTATTCTCCAGAGGGAGAAGAGCCACTTAGACACATACAATCCTAGTCCCTTCCCTTAAACATTGTCATTTTATGGGATCCAGGAAGTGTGCCTCTTCTATGGCAGTCCCTGCTCTACGGAACACCCTTGTTTTTGCCTCTACCCTCCTAGCCTTGCAAAAAAGGACTTAATATTTGGGTTTTTTGCCAAGTGGCAGATCAGGGTGAGGCAAATGAGAAAATTTAACAAAGAAGTTGGAAGCTTAACTTTGGTACTTGGCTTTTAATGTTTATTGACATTGTCTTAATTGTTGATTAATTGTTGACTCAATAATCTAAGCAGCTGTATAATTGTTTAACCAATATAAGACAATATTTGTAGCTATATTTATAAAGCATATGTTTTAAATAAACCAACAAAGAATGTGATTTGATGAAAGACAAAATGTGATTTTGGTTATTTTCAAATTAAGGCAGAATTACAGAGAAGTTAGGGAAAGAGGCTGGATGAAGAATAGGAGCTTCCCTTTCCCAACAGCCTAGGATAATGTAGAACCAAGAAGCTGGAGTAATCCAGGAAACTTATAGTAAAGTATGATTTTGTTTCAGGAAAATATTCTCTGTTGAAACAGGTAGGCTGTCCAGCCTGGAATATTGTGTTAGGTTTAACACTTGATCCTGTATATGATGTTAAAACAAGTCTCCTGTTCATAATTTTATGCAAACTGGTGAATTCTGTGTGATTTCACTTTATGACAGAGATCCTTGTACAGAGTGAGGTGGGAAGCTGATCAGAAAAAATGGAAAAGAAATGCTGCAGTCTCCAAAGATGTAAAGAACTTGATAAAATTTATTCTCCTGTTTCTTGAGCACTGGGGATACAGTTTGGAAACAGAAATAGACTCTTTGGAGTCTCAGATGTCCAGATCTGAAAGTAGTGATCAAAATACAAAACCATTCTGGCAACAGCAGTTTGAGGCTTTTCTTCTGCTCTCTCACCAACTGTCTCAATAGGCCCTCCAGCTTCAGCTGTACATGTGTAGGCAGTGCTCTGCTTGCAGGGTCTCTGTTTTACTTTTCTTCCTCCTGACATTACAGCTTGAGGAAACAGCTCTGTTCTCAGGCTAATCAGTAGGTTGTTTCAAGGCCATGCAGTACAGAAATATGGGGGAAATGGTTTGTACAAATCTGAAAAGGGTAACAAAGTTTTCTTGTCTTTTTCCTGCTGATCACTGGCACCTGGCATCACCATCTCAGCCTTCTTCTCCAGCCTTCCACCCCACTCCAGTTCTCCTATAATGTTATGTGAGCTCCCCGTTGGGAGAGCGAGTACGTTCAGAGAAGCGTTGTTAGAGTTGTGTTGGAGAACACACAAACCAGCATACAGAGACACTGCAGTTTA